GCGCCCAGCCATGGCTCAGTCCGGTTCGTCCTCATCATCATTTGCTTCCTCGTCTTTGGGACTCCCGCCTTACGCTCGGACATATACGAGTCCTGTAGACTCGACATGGACCCCGAGCTCCGCCGCGTCCACCGTCACCTCAGAGTCGTCTGCCCCGCCGACCCCTCTCCGACCCCTTGACCTGGGACCGCCCGGCTATCAAGCAACCATGTAACGGCCCACCATGCTCCATTCCGTCTGTTGTATAACCTGCTTGATGCCTTTGTCTCTAACTGCAATTCATATATAGCACCCTCTTCGAGCGAATGCCCAATGAGACCACCGTGTATCTTGGGCCATGGGATATGGTCGGCTCCGACCCGCGCCGGGTTTTGTGGCAGTGCAGTTATCAAGGAGAAACCCTCGAGCAGTTCCGTACGTCGTGTCTTTGGTTGGCTTCGGCGGCGGCAATTTCCAAGTTCACACGGCTGAGAGCGCAATAGTTCCAACCGATGTCCCGTCTCTGGTCTACCCTCTCACCCTCCACGCCCGACACCGACCGTACAGCGATCCGGGGGAGATGGAGCTGTACTTGACCTTCCGAGAAGCGCAGCGCATACGTTACACAGGCGCGGACGGCGCCGTGATACACGATGATGTTATAGAAGTGAAGTATGAGTTTACGTCCATAGACGCCTCGCTCCGCTTCCAGGGCGACCTGCGAAGGCAAGAATTGGTGGACTACTTCGACGTTGACGTGATATGGTCAGACACACACAGCAGGACGGACAATTTGACCGGTGCTGTGAGGGGTCTAGCCACAATCCAGAGGATGAAGCTTTGGAGAGATTCATACTCAACATTTCACTACTTCACCTTCTACTCGAACAGGCCTGGCAGCCGTTCCGAGAGACGATTTCGAGAGTACGCGGTGACGAGCTTCGAGGCTGAGGTGCGCGGACGGGATGACAGACACCGCCAGGTTCGTCTCAATGTCCGCGGTCGGCGCGGCAGCGCGCCGGATAATAGAGATCGGCGTTTCTCGATATCCTCGCCGTTCTCCCGCCAGAGACAAAGGTCTGTCGGCGGTAGCTCTCATTCACATGCGGGATCGTCCTCGTCATCGCCGAGCAGTGGTCTCGATATACGTTACCTCAGCATACAGTTTAGCAGGGAAAATGGTCAGTGGACATCCTGAGAACAACTCAAGACTGCCTGAATATCGATGGGCGATTCTCGAGACATACTGCTAACATTGGCTCCAAGACTATCGCCGATTCCTAGAGCAATGGGTCATTTCCCATAGCGCAGACAGCGAATTCCGTGGAGTGCCCTTCCCTCCGAACCATTTCGAACTGCCATCTCCCCAAATACCGCCAAATGAGATGCTAGAGCTGCCGGGAGCCGAGCTCTACAGTGGAGGACTGTCGTCCGTCCCCGAACCAATCGACGATGATGACGGCGACACGCCACCTGCCTAGCTGTGGCCGCGAGGTGCCGCCGTAAGTATGATATGTCTGAATGTGTCAAATGATAGGATGTCCATTTCGTTGTCATGTTATAAAAGCATCATAGACTCCCAGCAGGGGCGGCGTTCTGTACAGTGTATACCCAAAGAATTTTGCTAGGAACTCAAGAGATAATGGATATATACAGGAAAAAGGAGAAAACTTGTCTGCACTGAAGGAGACTTGTAGTACTAAAATTTATTGAAATAAGCGCTTCATGTCACGAGTGTGAGCTTCGTAATGCGACTTGATCGAGGTACTTCTCGTGTTTCTCTTGTCACCGTCCGTGACGAGAAAGTTTTCGGGCTGGAGGGGTGTAAGTCGCCTTATCACTTACAGTTGCGGCTTGGAGTTGATCAATAGGAAACCCTAAGACTACGCAAGGACACGCAGATCTCTTTTTCCCCCAGTGACTAGATCTAGATCATCTCAGCCTCCCACCAATCCCATTGGTCTCCTGTGACGGTTTACACGCCAAGAAGCAACGCCAAGCGATTTCAGGGACTTCTGTCCGTGCTCCCACCTTCCAACCGCAACGGTGAGTGCACGGAGCACACCTCTCGGTGTGGGAGTGGGGGGCCTTTGGGGTCTCCCTCAGGGTTCCCGTCAGCTCTTTTTTACAGTGACGGGAACGGCTCGCTAGGCCGGGTCTAGATTTGTCGGGGGCGCCCTCATTCGCTGTTGACGTCACGACACCTCAGTCAGCCCACCGCCCGCCGACGGCCCAGGAAACAGCTGATTTGGCACGCAAGAACTTTCTGCTGCGCTGCAAAGGCCCGAATTCCCGCTCCGCTGAAGGCGTGTCGATGAGTTGATACTAACGGGGAAGGAATTGAAAGATTTACGGACCTCAGCTACGGGACTGAAGCGCAAAATAGTATAAAAGCCCTCAGGTCGAGTCCGCCGGGAGCTTGGGAGGGGTTTCTGAGAAGCCTCCATACGGCGAAAAGTCCCACTTACATACGCGCATTAATATCAGGAACTTAGAAGGCTGGGCCTCGTTGCTTCACGCACGCCTCCGGCGAAAGAAAAGAAAAGGATTCGGAAATTCGACTAAGAGCAGAAATTGAATCAGTTTGGTCGTCAATTTCCTTTTTCGAATTGACTCTCAAGGAAAGCAACCTGAAGAGCGAATAGAAAAGTGAAGAGAAAGGTAGAAGGCTAGCGACTAACGACTAGACACCACCACCCACAATGACGCAGAAGATCATCCTCGCCGTCAACGCCGGCTCCTCGTCGGTCAAGATCTCCGTCTACACGGCCGAGCAGAGGCAGGCGCCCGTGCAGATTGCCGAGACGCAGATCAACGGCCTGACGGCGCCGCCGCCGAAGCTGGACTACTCGCGCGGCGGCGAGCGGCTGTTCAAGGACCGCGAGGTCGAGGACGCCATCGACAGCCAGGACGACGCGTTCCGGCTGCTGCTCAAGACGCTCGTCGACGACGAGGGCCTGCCGCAGATCCGCAGCAACGCCGACATCGCCATCGTGTCGCACCGCATTGTCCACGGCGGCGACTACCGCGAGGCCAAGGTCATCAATGAGGACACTTACCACCATCTTGAGGCCCTCAATGATTTGGCGCCCCTGCACAACTCCAAGGGCCTCGAGATTGTGCGCAGCTGCATGGACCAGCTGCCCGGCGCGACGAATGTCGCCTGCTTCGACAGCCAGTTCCACGCCAGCATCCCTGAGCACATCCGCACATACCCGATAGACCCCAAGATTGCCAAGAAGAACCAGCTGAGAAAGTATGGTTTCCATGGCATCAGTTATGCATTCATCACGCGCAGTGTGGCCGAATATCTAGGCAAACCGCAGAAGGAGGTGAACATCATTGCGCTGCATCTAGGGAGCGGAGCGAGCGCGTGCGCCGTGAAGGGTGGACGAAGTTGGGATACGAGCATGGGTTTGACACCGCTGGCTGGCCTGCCCGGTGCGACGAGGAGCGGGAGTATCGATCCTAGGTGAGCCCACCTCCTTCGCACTTGACTTACCTGCAACGGGACTAACAATAAAACAGCCTTGTTTTCCACTACGCCAGCGACGTCGGCAAGCTGTCGCCCGCATCGACCAAGGACCTGCACATCTCGACCGCCGAGGAGATTCTTAACAAGGAGGCCGGGTGGAAGGCGCTGACGGGGACGACCAACTTCGGCGTGATCGCCACCTCCTCGGAGCCGCAGATGAAGCTGGCCTTCGACCTGTTCGTCGACCGCGTCACCGCCTTCGTGGGCTCCTACTACGTCTCGCTCAAGGGCCAAGTCGACGCGCTCGTCTTCGCCGGCGGCATCGGCGAGAAGAGCGACCGCCTGCGCGCCGCCGTCGTCGACCAGTGCGCCTGCCTGGGCTTCACCATCGACCCCGCCAAGAACGGCCAGAAGGTCTCGGACACGGTCACGGACCTCTCCGGCGAGGGCGCCCGGCACCGCACGCTCGTGTGCCTGACGGACGAGCAGTTCGAGATGGCCAGAGGCTGCGCCGAGGACACGGCGCTGTGGCTCGACGACGGCACGCCGACTTTGACTTTGGGGCGGATTGCGAGCCACAATTAAAATGCTCTCCGGCACATTTTCGGTAATGGCGGGTGTTTTTTCCTCGGGTCCGTACCTGGATATACGGATCATGCATGGTCAGGGCGTATCGGGCAAAGGGCTAGATAGGATAATAGAATATCGTATGATCATGATCAAATATGGAGCAACGCCGCATAGTCAGCCCTCTGCACGGCGCTCAGGGTCCAGGGGCCCAGGGTCTTTCAGCTTTGGGTCTAGGCCATGGCAAATCACGAAAGTCACATCTGAAGCGAGCCATGAGATTACTAACTAAAAATGTTCAAGAATAGGTATCCTTCGTGATTGCCACTTTTTGTGTGCTCTCCCCGTCCTATCTGTATAAGTGGACAGGGAATCTGGTATCAAAATGCCTTCAAAACATGATGTGCTTCGCCGAAGGCAAGCGGCGATCGAGCCGGTCGCCCGCGAGAGAGGCGCTCAGGTATCTTTCATCCAAGAAATCGAAAAGGACGAACTGAGAAGAGAGAAGAAAGTCCCCCCACATGTGCTCCAGGCTAGAACCCAGTCGCAAGAGACTCCTCGCAGAAACAGATTCAAGAAGATAACAAGCCCAGATGCCGTGTCTATATTCCAGACTCTGGACGCTTCCCCCAGGTTCTGGACCCAAATCGTGTACAAGGGCCGTGATCATTCCCGCCATAAAAGAAAATACCCAAAAGTTATAAAAAATACGCCGTAAAGGCAAATGCCATGAGAAATCCCGTGTGCGCCGTTTCCCGTGTGTATGCCGTGTCTGCTTGCGTCTCAGTCGTGTATCAATGCCCCTGTCCCATGTTGCTATGCGTGTACGTGCAACCATTCCCGTAAATGCAAACAAAATCCCGTTTCTGCGCCTGAACCGAGCAATGAGTTGGATATAAACCGTTTAGTAACCCAACTTCGCCAAGAGGAAAAAGAAAAACAGCGAGATCGGTATGGAGAAGCGATCAATCAAAGTGGATATTAGATGGCACATGTTCGAGAGAACAGAAACAGTCCGCCGACAAGACGCCGACTGTTCCGAACTCATGATGTGGCTGACAAGCAGTAGGGCGGGACAGTGGAGAGGCTAATCGCCGGACCAGCGCCCGGTCGATGATCAGCGGCAAGATCGTCACTGGATAACAGACGCAAGCATGCCCCAGCTACCAGCGAGGAACTGCACGAACCCGACCGGAACCCGACCAATTAAGCTCCTTCTTGCGCAGCAATAGCCATGGCGAGTGCGTCAAGGCCGCTGCTAGGCGTGCGCACCGTACTCGGTCGGGTGAGCAATGGCAGATTTAGTCCACGCATATCCCAAGCTCCTCCTACGACTCCTGGAGATGGAAGTGGTGTGCCGCCGCTCATAGCTGCCGCCTTGCTGGCGCTGCTGGACTTGCTCGATGAAGAATGCCGTCTGGACCCAGAGACTGAAGGTCGTGGTGCCGATCTCGACTTATCCTTGTAATGGGTCTCCAAGTGCTGCTTCATGTTGTCGGCGCGTGTGAATTTCTTCGAGCAGCCTGCGAAAGTACACTGGACCGCCTTCTCAGCTGTATGGATCTTCGAGTGCCGCGAGGCATGGCCGGAGGTGGTGAAGGTCTTCTCGCAGCCATGGCTGTCGCGATAGCGGCAAGGGTATCGCTTTCCGGTCCTTTCGGTCGGCGTAACGTTACCAGCACCGGGGCTTGCGGCCTCCTCATCGTCGTACGAGGCAGAGCGATTATCGCCGAAAGCGCCGGGACGCTTATTCGAGCCCAGTGCATGCGCAGACACCATGTAGTCATCGAAGGGCGACCGTCCGTCGGTAGAGTAGGAGGAGTTGTGGCCGTAGTCTGCATACATCATGTTGGGTGTCAGCGGCGACACGGGCTCGTTGCTCATCTGCGAGTCGTATGAGTCCGACCGGAGAAGCTCTGGAGTGTTAGGAGAGGATGAAGCGCTCCTTGTCACACCAGGAAGATACGCTTGCGAAATGACATGGCTCGCTGTCCGGTAAGATAACCTCTCCGGCACTGAATCATAAAACTTCGGTGGTTGAGAAACGGGCTCATCGTTCAGGAGGGAGACTTGACGTCCCGCAGCATCGCGTGCGTGCATGGCTGATTAAGCGGATATCCAACACAAAAGTGACTGTTTTGCTGAAGTAGCGTCGTGGTAATGGTCAATTCCTCAGTGAAGCCGTCGGCGCAAGAGGAATTGAAAAAGTGCTCAATCCGAGCGACGAAGGCAAATAATGAGCACAAGTTGAGAGGTAGAGATGGATGCGCTGGCCAGGGCTGGAAGACCGTGACTTTGTGCAATGGAGGAATGAGGCGCTCAGCGAATGGAGTACGAAATTGACGATGCTATGTGGACATTGGTGTCTCAACGAATATATATCTCGGGGATATCCTTGCTGGCACGCTATATAGCATTTGTTACGTCCAAAGACTGACTTTGTCTTTCCTGGTGCCGCGAGTTAGTAGGCGGGAACTAGGGGAACTGGACTTCAGCCTTGAGGCAGTCGAGACTTACAAAGGGAAGGCGAGCTTCTGTGACGGTGCGTTGGGTGTCAAGGTGGAGTAGTATAGGAATGACAAGAGGAGGTTGTTCGTGGAGCGAGCGAGAGAGGGTGGGAGGAAGAAGAGAGAGTCGCAACAATAGGGCAGCACGCAAACAAGATATCCAGGCATACTCTTCAAGAGCAGGGGAAGGGGCGTTAATAAGGTAACTTTGCGGGTGCGGGAACCGTACCTAGGCAAGCTTTGAGAACCTAAAGCAATGAATGGGTGTGTCCCGTCTGTCCCCTTTGCGTGGCCACTCACACGCTCACCCACTAATGAGAATGTACAGTAGGTACTTGGGCGCTGTGTCTCCCTGCTCTACAGCGCAGTGATGGCATGGCGTAGGCATGCCAGCACCTGCACGGGCAGGGCAGGCAGGGACATGGGAAAGTGGACTGGGTGAACTGGGACTGCATGAAACCCCATCTCATTTTTCTGCTTCTACCTTAGCATTTCCACTCTTCCCACCCCCCCGTTGTGGCTCCCTGATGGGTCCCCCAGGCCGCCCCGAAAGCAGTAGTGGAGACCGGTTCCAGTGTGCGCGCGAAGGAGTGGGTGACAGGGATGGGCGACAAGGACCACGCCCCCTTGGCAGAGGTCAGCGAGGGGTTGAGCAGCCACAAATGCTGAGTCCCCCTGCAGGTGACGGTACTTTGCACAAGGCCCTCAGAAGTATCCTTCCGATTGTTATGAGAGGCGCTGGAACGGGTCCCATGCCCTTGTCGCAATGCCGTTCCCTTCTTAGCGCCCCGATCGCACGCTGTGGCTGTCCCCTGGGTCTTCCGTGATGGAGGCAGGTGCCCAGCGGTCAAAGGTGCTTCTAAGTCAATGTCTAAGTAGACATCGAGATGCGCGGCATCGCAATCTGCTTTCTAGCCTCTTGCGATCATTCTTCCGTCGTCTGACTCTGGGATAGGCACCAACAGTGGGTTTGTTAGGCGGCGTCTGAATATAAGGAAACCTCCTCGTGTCGGTATGCTTTGAAGCCCTGTTCCCGCCCCCGATTTGTGATGTCCTTAGGTCCCATTCAAACTCGTACGGCAAAGAGTCTAGAGCAAGCGAACAAGCAAGCTACTTGCTTCTCGATCACCGATGTCATCAGTATTCGGGCCCGCAAGGCATGTTTAATTTGCTTGAGATAGTCGCACGATGACTAGGTACTCTACTGCTGCTTTAAAGCCTCCTCCTAAGTTCTGTTTGGTCTGCAAGAGACTTTTAGGTGTTCTCCACAGCCGTCGAGCCTGTCTCCGCTTTACCGTGGCAGACTTCTGTATGTACTTGGATCGCCCTGGATGTTGGATCCGGGGGAGAATCTGAAGGGTCAGTTGTCATGGTCGATCAACGGGACTCGGCGCGCCCATCAGTTGAGCGTCACAGCAGCTCAGGCACAACCGAGGGCTCCTCATCCACTCGGACGGGATCGCCCACTGCACATATGTGTTGTATGATTGGACAGACCACGACGTCTTTCAGCCCTCCACAAATATATCGTGAACCAAAAGCCAGAGAAGCCTCTCATGCCAGTATTCATTTTTGTAATCCTGATGGCAGATCGCTGCTCCTCATCGCCGGGTGCCCACGGGGCTGACACGCGCCACGCCATTCTGGCTGAAGCCACAGCCCAGCTACGAAGTAACTCTGGCGGTCGCACTGTCTCGCTAAACAGCGACCGCTTATCATTGCAGAGCCATGAAGGCCATCGTGCAGGCAGTAAGGAACTCTCACAGGTTGATCGAGGAACTCTGTTCGTCGCCCTAGTGCGCCGGAGACTGCCCCGGTGGGCCTTTGGCGGAGAAGATGTGTCTGCGAAGCCTTTCATGCGGGTCGCGACAAGAATGACGTCGGCGGCGTCCAGGGTCTGGAGAAATGCTCCTGGCCATGCTCTTCAAATACAATGAGGATACTCTAGCCTGCCGTTAGGTTACCTTGAACCTTAGGCTACGCTACCAGACTGGGTGTATGTGCGTAAGCTTGCTGACAGGGCATTAAGAGGCACGTTCGCATGGCAGTGTGGCAGGTGTCTGGGCGGGCAGCTTTGGGAATGGCTGGCTTGGATATTAGCGGCGTTCGTGCGTAACGATCTTTCTGGAGAGGTACAGACAAAGTACAGTAGCGAGTGAGGCACTGGTAGGGGCCTTTGAGAGTAAGCTGAGAACTAGAAAGCAGGGTCAAGCGGTACGTATCACTGAATGAAGACCCCTTTTTAACGACGATGGCTTGCGAATGATGGGCAGGGTCCAATGCAGGGTTCAGTAGAAATCCGACAAGAGATTAACAGATTGGTTTGCTTTGATGATTGCGGCCGGAGCAAACTGAGCGAAAGGTGTTACTCTGCCAGGATAGAGTTTCCCAGGTGACCTGATTCCTGGAGCTTGCCGTTGCCCATTGCTCACCCATCTGCCGTCGTATGTACTTGCAGCTTTAGAAAAGATAAAAACATACGACCTTTGAAGGCCGACGCAACTTCAGTCT